TGGGAGGGCGACGCAGGCGACCCTTGCCAGCAGCAGCCAGGAGGGGGCCATCTGTTGCAACCCCTTTGAGCTTCAGCCTGAGGTGCGGGTGCACTGCGCCGACAGCCTCTTTTCCTCTCGGGAATTCCCCCCCGTCCCCCGTCACGTGTTTGCTTTGGCATCGCTCGGACGTGTGCATTTTCGTCTCGGTGAGGACCATAGACAAGCATATTGGGTCATCCTGCGAGAACCAAGGCGCACGAAACCGAAACATGCATTTGGAATGGACATCCGAGCGATGGCGAGTTCCACGTCAGGTGTTTGTCTGGGTTGAAGCGCCAAGGGGCAGTGGAATGTTCATTGCGAAGTTTGATTGCGCAGTTGAGGAATCAAAGGATGTGCGGCGCAAAAGGAGCGTGTGTGTTCACATTGAAAACATGTTTGCTATGGTTTGTCGGTCTTCTTGGTATATCAATCGCATGACGCTTACAATTCTTGCCACGCGCCAGCACACCGCTAACCCATGCATTAAATTTCCATGATATTGCACAGGCCGCTACCGCCTGGGGTGACGCTGTGGATCTATCCAGCAGGCTTGCGCCATCCAAACTTACCCACCCGTATTATAGTGGCTGCCTTTCTAGCTACACGCTGAATTATTGTGAACAAAAAGTTCGGCCTCGCGCGGCGCGTAATAGTGGTATTATCTAGTCAGCACGTCCGCCCCATCAGATATGGAACGCCGTTCGCGCGGCCATGTTCTGACGTCAATCCTCCGTGGACACGATGTAAAAATCCGACATCAATCCGACGTCGACACCTCTTAAACTGGAGCTCAAGATACATCGCGAGGCCTCCAGGATTTTACCCAGAAGGTCCAGCACAGGGAGGACAGGATAATGGCTGACGCACAGGAGGGAGCCAGACTCGACCGCGCCGCGGGATGTTTGCACGCGCCCTCTCGGCGGGCAGTATAATTGCATTCTAATGGCGCGCCTGGTGTACTGCCACGGGTCAGGCTCGCTGGGCCCCCTTCTCCCTCCTCGCGGCGGCGGCGCGCCCAGGGAGGCAGGCCCCACTTCTGGCCACTCCTCCCCCGCCCCCCCCCCCTTAGGCCCCGAGGCCCGAGGCATGTCCCGAAAACCAGGCTCGGCGGCGCGCCAAGGGGGGAGGCCGTCTTTTGTCGGAAGGCCCAAGAAGGCCCTTGCCTCCTCCTCCTCCTCATCCCCCCTCCTCCTACTCCTCCCTCCCTCCCTCCCTCCCTCCCTCCCTTCCTCCCTCCCTCCCTCCCTCCTCCCTCCTCCCTGCTCTCTCGTCCCTCCCTCCTTCCTCTTCCTCCCTCCTTCCTCGGCCTGCTGAGAAGCCTCGCAGGCCTTCTCCGAAGTCACGGGAGGCTCCGCCGAAGCGCGCGACAGCGACAGGGGCAGCGGGGGCGCGCGAGAGCGGGCGAAATGCCGACCTCGCTCCCAAGCGCCGCGCAGTCTGGGAGTGAACGTGGCCGCGCAGCGCATGCTTCGTCTTCGCCACGCCCGTCGGAAGGTTTGCCGCTCCCGCCCCTGCGCGGCCCGCGTAGCCGTCCCTTCGCAAAATCACGTCGTCGGGGGCGGGGCTGCGCGCGAGCGCCTTCCATTTGCGAGGTGGGAACGCGTTCCGATCCCAATAGCAAGTTGTGCCACAGTTGAGTCTTAACGTTGCGTGAGGGAGGGGGGAACAGGCGGAGCCCTCTGACCTGCCCGACCTGGCTAACTTGCCCCTGCTCCTACTCCTACTCTTCTCTCTCCTACTCGTTTCCCTCCTCCCTCTCTTCCTCCTCATCCTCCTCCTCCTCCCTCCCTCCTCCTCCCTCCTCTCTCCTCCCTTTCCCTCCTCCATCCTTCCTCCTCCCTCCTCCCTCCTACCTCTCCCTCCTCCCTTCTCTCCTCCTCCACCGCCTCCTCTTCCATTCCGTTCCCTTTTGAAGAACTCCTCCTTGTCGCACCCCGAGGCCGGACGAAAGGGCGGGCCCGGCGTGTCGCTTGACTTTTCCTCACCGTTTATGGCCGTGAATTTTGATGATTCACAACAGCTTCGCGGATAGAGGGCGGTTCGTTTTCAAAATGTGGTTCTCGCTTGATCGCTGCGAACATTCGTGTAACACATGCAAGGGTTTCACGGATTGATGGCGGTTCGTTTTCAAAATTCGGTTCTTGCTACAGTGCCGCGCACATTCGTGTTAAACGTGCAAGAGTTTCACGTATAGAGGGCGCTTAGTGTTCAAGATGTGTTTCCCGCCTGAGCGCCGCGCACATTCGTTGTATCAAATTCCAAGAGCTTCACGGATTGAGGATGGCTCGTTTTCAAAATGTGATTTTCGCTTCAGTGCCGCGCACACCCGTCGTAAAAATACAATGTTTCACGGGTTCCCATAGTCAGCGTATCAAATCTTGTGTTTGGGAAGGATTCAGGATTGTGAGTGCGCAGCAGTTACGTCGATTGTTGAAGTTTCAGGAGTGGGGGGGTGGCACGATTCAGGATCACCAAGACGTAACAGTCAGGTTGATCCGCGGCGTTGGAGTCCTGAGTGCAGCCGGCCCGGATTAGTAGGTCGAGCCGGCCCGGATTAGTAGGTTGACCCTGCCAGCTCAAGGGTATCCTTGTGTCCTGTGCCTCGCGACACGTGCCTTCTGACGCTCCTATGGCGATGTGGCCCTCGGATGGGTCTTGTGTCCTCTCGCGTGTCCTGTCCAATCAAGGCCGACTGTATGGTAGTTTGGCATGCTTCAGGGACTTCGAACGGTTGTCTCCTAACGAGGCAGTTCCCTCAGTGGAAGTGAACCCTTCTATAGGGCCTATGAAGAGGGAGCTTGGAAGCAGGGTTAATTCCCACATCGTTGATGAGTCTTGGGTGTACACTGGTCCTCCTCCTCCTCGTCCTCCTCCTCCTCCTGCTCCTTCTCCTCCTCCCCCTCCCCCTCCTCCTGGAGAAGGTTCTCAACTGTGTCGTAGGCGTGTTCGTGAAGGGGCTGTGCGGCTAGCTGGTACACCGAATGATTACGCTAGATATTTAGGGGGTCTTGTTCGAGGAGATGGCACCTTCAACTCGGAGCTAGGTAGTAGATTATCTGCCATCGACGCTGGATTCCACAGCATGGGGCGCTTCTGGTACCAGGCGAGGGTCTCCTTTGTAGAACGACGAGCGGTCTTTCTCAGCAGAGTATTGGGGTCGGCCATGTCTGGGGTTGAAGCATTCCTACCCACGGATGACCACATCTCGAAATTACAAAGTAGGGTCATCATGTACGCCCGTAGGGCCATGAGGGGTCTCGCTACTAAGGAGGTCAACGGCCACAAGGTATCGATTAGTAACGCTGAGGTGTGCAGGTACGGGCAGATGGCACCACTCGAAATTGAACTCCGAGCCAGGCGCATCAAGTGGTACCAAAGATGGGTGCGCCACCCTGACCGACACCTGTCTGAATGGGCTGCGCTCTTTGGCACATTGCAGATAGAGCAAGAGCACGGACTGCATATTATTGGTTCGGATTCACAGCTCACTTCAGCGGCGTGTCCTTGGGCCAAACGGGTAATACAGGATATTATCTCACTCGCTGACCTCGGCGACGAAGAGTATGAACATGTAGCAGACTTCAATGCTAGCCCCTTGCAGTTGTTCCAGGATCCGACCCTAGTTGAGTGGTTTTCCAGCTATGACACGAAGAAGATACGAGCACATTGGTTAAGTGTAGCTATCCCACCCCCTGAGTTCCACTTGCCTGAGGACCGCCGCCCCCCCGATCCTGGAGGCGTCGGACCCTCGCTGCAGTGCCCTGTCTCAGGTTGTCCACGACGATTTCACACAAACCGACAACTACTTGAGCATATACACAGGCGCCATGCATTTAAATCCATCCTGGGCCTCACTGTCACGTCCAATGTCTGCTTCGTCTGCGAGAGCGTATTTGAAAGCCGCAACTCCGTGTACAAACACTTGATTTCCTCTTTCGACACTTCGAGCTCCAGCCAAACAGAACAAGCTTGAATGCCCGCTATGTATGGCCCAAGCATCGGACTCTGCAGGTCTGTGTGCACATCTTCGCGCCCATTTTCGCCACCTCCCCGCGCTGGACCATGCCGGAAGGAGCCCAGCCAGCAGTGGCGTCTACGCAGCAGGAGATGGAGCTGGAGCGCCCAGCGTGGATGTTTGCAGGAATTGGAGGCAAGCGCAAGGAGGACGACGGCAGCCAGAGCCAGCAGGGCAAGCGCTCCAGGCTGGCGCGCCAGATCGAGAAGAACAGCAACGAGCACAAGATGGGCCGCTTCATGGCGCTGATGGCCATACTGACCAAGCTCAGTCTCTCGAACGCCAGAGAGCTCGCAGACTTGACAGGCGCGTGCTTCACGTGCTTTCTGCTTCCAGAAAGCGCGCCGCCCATCAAGCATATGCAGGAGTCGGGCAAGGCCTACGCCAAGGACTGCAAGGAGAAGGGGAAGGACCACGGGAACGGCCCGCCGTGGCCGCACGTCTTCCTCGGCTTCCTCCACCACTTCATCACGCAGGACGGGATGGACCCCATGGCATTCAAGGTGATGAAGACATACTGGAAGTACGTGACGAAGCTTCCCAAGGAGGAGGCACTGACACACCTCCAAGAACAGATTCGGTTTCTCAGGGTGAAAGCGTGCTGGTACGATCGCAAGAAAGGAGACAAACCGACCAGGTTCAAACTTCAGTTCATGATGAGCCCCAATGCGCAGGCCAACCCGATCAAGGACGGCGACTCGCAGGAGACCATCCAGCAGGGCCCTCCAGCACGAGGGGGGAGAGTACCGCGCGGGCGGAGCACCTCGCGGAGCGCTGGAGCGCGAGGCGGAGCGGCTGATGAAGCAGCTCGGACTGCAGGACGACAGGACGGCGGAGGAGAAGAAGGTGGGATCCGACAGCGACAAAGAGTTTTGAGCTTGCCGCCCCTCAAGCTCATCGAAGTCAACGGCTCAGAAAGGATGGCCGAAATGGTTTGTAGTGGCAGGCTCTTCGGCAGTGCATTATTCAGATTGCAGCAGAAATACTCACATCCCATTCTAAGATACTCCAACGGGCAGCGAAGCATCTTGCTGCATCAGGGCGACACAGAGGACCCGCCCTTCTCTATCTCAATGAATGAATTCTATCAGCGTAGCATGCAGGTCCGCAGTATGCAGGTGAATGTGCAGACCGTTCCACTTCAGCCAACCCCCAGTGTCTCCAGCAGACTTTTGCATCCCAACCCTGACGGCTGACGACCAGAGGTTCGTTGTCGGGCCCTGCTTCTACCTCCAGATGTACATCGAAGATTGAGTTGCGAGTGAGCGGCGTTGCGACCTTGCTCACTTCCCCCTTCCCTGTCCCCGCCCTCTGCTTCTTTGCCCCGCCCCCTCTTTTCAGGAAGGATGGTGCCGCGGGCGGACAGCTTGGTCTCCCCTGATAGCTGTCCCGCTGTCGGCCAGCGAAGGCCGTCCTTCCAGCGGTAGCCGCTGGTAGGCGATTGCATCGCAGCCGAGAGCCTTTCGATGTCGTGCTGGCCCCCGCTCCTTTGTTCGTTCTCCTCCTCGCGGCCCTCGGCCCTTCGGCTTGCCCTCGGTCCTCCGTCGGTCCTGCCTGGGGTCCCCTGGCCGCTCGCCGCTCTCGCTTCGTCGGTGGCCCCTCGTGAATCCCACTTTGTGGGCTTTTGTAAGCAGGCGCCTCACAAGCATTAGCTTCAGCTGGCACAGACAATGGCTCGCAACGGTTCTTGTCTTGTCTTGTCCCCCTCCTCCTCCTCCTCCTCCTCCTCCTCCTCCTCCTCCTCCTCCTCCTCCTTCCCCCCTCTACGACCAAGGGTCGTTAAACCCGAGGGTGGCATCGCTCGGATTTGTGCATTTCGAGGCGAGGACCATCGAGGAGCATCCTGGATCACTTGGCAAAAAGAAACACGCACATAATATAAACATGCACAAGGAATGGTCGTCCGAGCGATCGCAAGTGAGTCTGTCAGTGGGGATCTGGGGTCCCCGCACGGTCTTGGAACTCGGGTTGTCGTTTTCATGGGACGCCTCGGGCGAACAGGGCCTCCGAGGTTCCAAGAATCCAGCGACGAAATCTACACATATCCACTGCTCCCTGGCCAGGCACAGCCAGAAGCCAGGAGCTGTGTATACGCCCTCCTGGTCAAGCCAGGAGGGCGTTGCGTATACACCGCCGCTGGGTTCGGGAGGGTCCTGGCCAGGGAGCAGTGGATATGTGTAGATTCCGTCGCCCTGAAGACGGCTGTGCGGTGACGCACCGCGCGGTGTGGGCTCTTGGTCCCCCGAAGCCCGAAAACGACCCGGGAGGGCGGAAGTGCCCCCTTCTCCTCCTCCTCCGCCTCCTCCGCCTCCTCCTCCTCCTCCTCCTCCTCCTCCTCCTCCTCCTCCTCCTCATCATCATCATCATCATCATCCTTCTCCGCCTCCTCCTCCTTCGCCTCCTCCTCCTCCGCCCGGTGGGACCCGAAAGAGTCGGCGCACGTCACGTCGCCGACCCCCGCCCCGGCGGCCCGCTGCTGTCGCGGCGGGCCCGGCGGCCACGCCGGCCAACGGCGCGGACATCTGCATGCGGAGGCTCCGCCGGCGGCCCTCGGAGGGCATCGGCTGCGGCAAGCGTCGAGCAGGAGGCCGACTGCAGAATTGGTTTCACCCTTCAGTCGGGCCTGGCCCTACATGGGGAATCTTCAAAATTGGTTATATGATAGTCTGGGGGCGATTGTTGGAGCATTTTTTGCAATATTTGCACATGTTTTGACTACTCTTAATTGTTCGTCCAAAATCTCCCTGTAGGGGGACAGGCCCGACCCAAGTTTACCCCAGATGTTTTACTTAATCGTCGAACTTACGAAAAATCCGTAGGATGTTCGTGGGCCTGCGGAACATTGTACGAACGTTGCGCAGATCCGGCGAAGGAGCAATTCTGGGAGACATCAATTCTGTAATCGATCTCCTATTCGAGAGGTCGCGTCTTGTCGACCGTCGACCGGATGCGATCCCAGCGCGGGCGTTCAAAGAGGTTGAGCGCCGCCCGCGGCCCAGAGTCGGTCCATCGTTGAACGATCCGGCGTTCCTGAAACAGCCGATCGTTCATGGTTGAACGTTCCCCACGGTGCCAGGAACCAACGCCGGGGTCGGCACGACACGAACCCGCCGTACACAGATACGGGCCTCCCAAACGGGGTCCAAGCAAACGGGGTCGAAGCATCGCTCCCCATCGCCGATGCATCGACGAGCGGCTCGATGCGGAGCCCGATATCACATCGATCCGGCTCGAAGGATGCCGCAGAAAAGATAGGGTCTAGAGTCTAGGATTATGACCGTAAGTTTTGCAGTGTTGCGGTTGTTTCGTGACTTCGGAGCTGAGGGTACAGCTACACCGATCCTGGCCAGGATCGCCGTAGATGCCTTCATGCCCAAGCCAGGAGGGCACCCAAATCCGATCCCGTCCCCAGGATGAGCCTGGCCAGGATCGGTGCAGTTGTATAGAGCGGAAACCAGTGTCAAGAAACATTTTGCTTGCCTCCAGTGTGCCCTGGGTTTCTTGGGTGTCGATCATTTTGCTATGGGAAGCGTGACGCTCCCACACCAAAACTCAATGGACATCTTGGGGTCTCAAGATTGGGTTTCTTGTGGGAGGTTTCTTGTGGTCGGGCTCCTACTGTAGCTGGCGCCTTCCTGCCTCGTTCCCGCGCCTCTCCCCTGCGCGCGCGGAGGACAGAAGGGAGGGATGGACGGAGGTGGAGGGAGGGGAGACGAGAAGACGAGAAGGTTACTTGTGGACTGGCCTCCACTGTATCATCCACGCATCTCGCTGGGAGGACGGCGACGCTGACGGATTAGACAGTTCCAGAAAGACCCGTTGTGAGGCGCCGCGCGCCATGCGTGCAACATTGCCCTGCGGTGTGAGCCTGCTGGGCACAAGACCCGAGGAAGTCTCGGGCGAGAGCCCCGATGTGAAAAGGAGCCGTGCGGCACCCGTGCAGATGTGGAACCATTTCTTCAAGTCGTGGACACAGGGACTGAGGAAGTGTTAAGGAAAGCTCTACGTTGACAAGCCGCCCTCTCCATCCGTGTAACAGTCGGAAACGTGTGAGCGCTGAGGCGGGAGCTATACATCTGCAGGGCGGCCCCCCTCCATCCGTACCTGTGCAACCGCTGGCAGTTGCATGCTTCGAGGTCACAAAGGGTGAAGAGGTCCCAGACGAAATATCCAGCCCGCCCCATCGACGCGGGAGGGACAGAGGGAGAAGGAGGGAGGATGAGGAGGAGGAGCAGGAGGAGGACCGAGGACGGAGGAGGAGGAGAACGGAGGAGGAGGAGGAGGAGGAGGAGGAGGACAGAGGACGGAGGAGGAGGAGGGGTGGGAGGGAGGTGGAGAGGGACGATGGCGATGACGGCGACGACGACGGCGACGGCGACGACGACGACGCGAACCTCGCGTTCGGGAGCAGCGCCCTCTGCGATCTGCCGCATGCTGACCAGAGGTTTCATCCACCATGGGAGGACAAACAAATGCCTTCAGGGCCAGAGTTCGGGGAGGATCGGCTCGTTGGAGGGTGCATCGACCCCCACATCGCCCAACCGATCCCCGATGGGGGCCCGATCGCCCACCCCTGCCAAGCGCTGTGCACTTGGCATCGCTCGGACGCGGGCAGCTTTTCCAAGCGACGACCATCGAGGAGCATCATGCTTAACCATCTAGCGAAAAATACACGCACGGAATCGAGAAATGCACGGGGAATGGACGTCCGAGCGATGGCGAGTGCAGAGTTGCTATCGGGGGCCTCTCGCCGATCTGTCGGCGATCTATCGCCGATGCAAGCTCCATGTCCCCACCCCCCTGAGCTGAACCCCCCTCAGGTTGTCCCTCCTGACTCTTGCGATCTCAGATCCCGGGCCCCCGACGTCATGATTTTTGTCCACGAGGTCGAGCCCCGGAGGTTTTTTCCTCCTTCTGACGAGGGCCCCCAGGTGCCGAATCGGGAGCATTGAGACGGGGGTCAATGCAAACGGGGGTCAGCCAGAGCGCCCGATCTTGCAGGATCCTGCTGGATCAGGGTCGCATTGACCCAGACTTGGGCGCAGGATCCTGCAGGATTTTTCGCATCGACCCGGGCTTGGGTGCATGATCGTTCAGGATCTTGCAGGATTCTGCAAGGCCTGATTGACCCGGGTCTGGATTGACCCAGGTCAGTACGGTAGGTCCGTGTCGTGTCGACCGGCGGCGACCCCGCCAGCGGCGTTCAACGTTGAACGCCGCGGTACCCGCGGTGTCAGAAACCAATGCCGAAGTCGGCACGACGCGAACCTGTCGTAGGTCCCCGACCGGAAACGCCCAAAACTGCAGGGCGTCTGCAAGGCCTGATTGACCCGGGTCTGCGCTGGTCAGTTTTTGTTGTTCAATCTCGTCTTGCGTGCCTCAGCTCACATGCCTCGCTCGTCTGTTTCACTTCTTGCCGATGCGCCGTCTAGGCGCGGCATCCTGCGTGCGTGCGCGGGCAGGTCCCCGACCGAGAACGGCCAAAAGCTGCCCCGTCGTGGTGTCTCGCGGCGCGAGCGGTGTCTGGGCTCCGCCTTGTGGCAGTTCGTGGCAGGCCCGCAGCAGTGCCGAGGAGGGCGGTCGCTCACTCCGCTCGGCGCCCGTCCTCCCCCTCCTCCGCCCCCTCCTCCTCCTCCTCCCCCCCCTCCTCCTCCCCCTCCTCCCCCTCCCTCCCCCTCCCCCTCCCCCTCCTCCTCCTCCTCCTCCTCCTCCTCCCCTCCTCCTCCTCCCTCCTCCTCCTCCCCTCCTTCCCCTCCTCCTGCTCCTCCTCCTCCCTCCTCCTCCTCCACCTCCTCCTCCCCTCCTCCTCCTCCTCCCCCCCTCGGCCCCTCCTCCTCCTCCTCCTCCTCCTCCTCCTCCTCCTCCTCCTCCTCCTCCTCCTCCTCCTGGAGCGCGGCGAGGCTGCCGGAGCTCGAGGCGCCGCGGAACGGCTTCTGGATGTCCCCGGGCGAGGTGTTCCAGGCGCCCAGCGCCGAGGGTCGTGTCGGACGGCGGTCCAAGGGGAGCGTGAGCACGAGGCGGCCACGCGCAGGTAGGGGGGTACAGGCGGCCCGGATTGGTAGGTCAACCCTGCCAGATCAAGGGTACCTTCGTGTCCTGTGTCTTGCGACCCATGCCTCCTGCATTTCTGTGGCAACGTGGCCCCCGGAAGGGTCTTCTGTCCTCTCGCGTGTCCTGTCCAATCGAGGCCGATTGTAGGGTTGTGGACGGCGATCATCTACGCCTTCTAGATGGGATCGGAGTAGATGGGGTCGGAGGATCGCGCCGCCTCGCCGGTGCGGCTCGATGCGAAGCCCGATGTGCTTCACGTCGACGTCGCCGATGCATCGCCCACGTCGCCAGTGCATCGCCGATGTGTCGGCGACGCGGCGCGATCCTCCGACCCCATCTACTCCGACCCCATCCAGGAGGCATCTGCGCAGGCACCTTGTGTGGCTTATTGTCGGGCACGCTGCGGCGCTCGCGGGCGCAGCGTTGGTGCCCACGGGCGTACCCCAATGGAGAGGAAGCACGTTGCCCAATGCCAGATGTTTCAAGCATGTGTTTGAGCATGTCCTACACATGCAAAGTACATGTTTTGAACATTTTGAAAAACATGTTTCAAGCGCATGCTTCATTCGATGATAAGATTGGTAGGGTGTCCAGTGTCATGGCGTCCACAAGGGTAGGGGGACAGGGGGGGGGGTCTCAGAGGCATCCCTGCTTCCTAGAAGGTGCGGGCCCTGATTGCAAATATGCAGTGCCCGCGCCTTCTGAGAAGCAGCCTCCGTCGAAGAAGCCTCCCCACCTCACCCTGCACGCCCTGTGCGCGCCAGCAATCACAAGCGAGAGTGATTCTCCAAGGATGTCCCGTGCACTCCTTGCCCCTCGGCTCATCCTAGCCTCTAGCCACTGACCGTGGGCGAGGTGTTCCAGGCGCGTGGGATCACGAATCACAACAATCGAATACGTGGTGAATTCGAAAAGCCAAAACACCCGTACGCATCCGCTACGAGATCGTACACTGTGCTGCTCGTGCCATCCCGACCGCACTGTGTTACACGAAGGTTTAACAAAGAAGTGGCATGGGTGGGTGGCATGGGGGTGCAACAAACAACAAACAAAACAAAACGCGTCCACCACGGCTGTGTCGTCGTCGACGCAGGCATGTCAAGACACACACACACACCAGGCACGGACGGGGTGGTCTCCGAATGGCATAGGCGCCAGCAGTACGTTCTCAGGGATGCCGTCGCCGTCGAAGCCCCAACGCCTGGCCGAGATGATCGGGCTGCACGGCAGCACCTGGACGGCGGGGGGGCGCGAGATCTCCTGCACGCGGCTGGCTTCAGCCCCGCTGCCGGGCCCCTCCTCGGGCGCCAGGGAAGCCAGTTGCGTGAGCTGATCGTCCACCTCCTCTCGGCGGTGAGCGAGCGGGGGGAAGTGAGAAGGGGCCGGCCTTCTCAGAAGGCGCAGAATGTCCCCCCAGCTCTCCGCAGAGTGTTCTCCGCCTTCCCTTGGAGACGCAGAGCACTTCTCGGGAGGCCGCAGGGCTCTGAGGAGCCCCGCCGCCTTCGGCGAAGGCCTTCTTCCTCCCGCTTCCCCCCCCCCCTTCGCTCGCCGCCGATTTTTATCCCCTCGCAGCGAGTCCGGCCCGAGATCGCTCTTAGGCTCGCGCGCTGCTAACTTGACAGGCCCGTGGCCCGGACCTCTCAGCTCGGCGACTGCGATTCCGCGTCCGCCCGCGACAAAAAAAAAAATCCGGCCCGAGAAGCGGAGGAGCGGAGCCCTCGGGCGCGGGGGTCGTGGCAGAAGCACGGGCGTTGCCGCGCCCTCCGAGCCACGGGGGGGGGCCTTCGCGCGCCGGCCCCGCCAGAGTCGCGGGTGTTGTCGCGCCGCTTCGAGCCACGGGTGTGTCGACGCTGCTCGGACGCGAAGAGAACGCCTCGTTTCACCACCCACCAAACCACCCCAACCCAACCCGAAGGCCTCAATGTACCGTCCATTTCCAGTGGGGGGGGGGTCGGGGAACATCGAGGAAACACGTATCGAACCTCCCCCCCCCCCAACCCGAAATTCGGGTTTTCGGGTTGGGTTGGGGTGGGGTGGTAGGTAGCCATTGTTGCGTGCAGCTCCGAGCCACGGGGCGCCTTCACGAAGCGATGCTGCCAGGAGATCTCGGGCACGAGCGGTGGGGTCGCACGACGGTGCGCCCCCTTTCGCGTTGCGCAGAGCCTTGGGGGAAGGGGTGCAGCAGCAGCCAGCAGCACGAACGGGTGAGGACGAAAGGTTACGAGGAACATCTTGGAGGCCTCACGAGGCGCGCAAGAGTTGTATCATTTTGTCCACGCATTCGATCCGTGATACATGGGTCGACGTTCGCGCGGCGATGCTCCGATGGAAGTCCGACGTGAATCTGACGGGGATCCGACCATATTTTGAAATCGGCACGCCCTCTTTCCGTGAAGCTGTTGCAAATTCC